TTGTTTGGCGGGTCCGGGCTGGGGATTCGAACCCGCCACCTTAGGTGTACGTGGCTGGCGCCTTAGCCGGTTGAGCTATAGGCACCGAGCCACATGTATATATTTTAACACTACAATTTCACTTTAAAGAATTCATCCCACAGAAACATCTGCACAGATACACAAAGCTCATATACATGGACAGTCACTGGACAGATGTTCAGAATTAGAGGACTGGTTGCACACACACGTTAGGGAATACTATGCAGCTATGAAACAGAATGAGGTACATCATATGTGTGTGTGATAAACAACCACAAACAACATTAAGGCCTGGCTAGAGCAAATGGAAAACTGGGCTGGACAACACAGGGCCTTGGTTTCTATACCTAGCCCTATAAGCAAGGGAAAGCAAGGTAAGACCGAAAGATTGTGGTTTAGGGGGAGAGAGAAAATGCCTCTGCTACCCTCCAGTTGAGCTGGTAAAATGAAAGCAGGAGGGGTGAGAAGGAGATGACTGACTTGAAGTGACCCAAGTTGACGTGGAGAGGTAGCCATAAATAAGGATTTAGGATTCAGAAGGCAGAAAGGACAAGATTTAGGGATGAAAGGGACAATAATAAGACAAGGATGGGAGAAACCTCTGGGATTGCAATTTCCAGCTTGGACAAAGATGTGAATGAGTGGTTTGGGGGAAGTCAGGAGGCAGGAGTCAGCCTCTCCTGATCGCATGTAAAGAAATCCCAGTTGTGTGTGCTGAATGGATATGGCACCCAGTGAGGCCCCTGGAGGCTCCAGATAGAGATTCCAGAAGCGCAGTTCTTTAAAATACAGAGTAAAAACTTCCCTATCAGGAGTGTGGAAAGGAGGGCTCTCTTCCAACCAAATACAAGAGAAAGAAATGGAGTTCCCCACCTAAGGACTAAAGTTGAGCCCAGGATGAATGCATTTGACTTACTCATTATCTACTGGGCCCTTCAAGGGGGCTACAGAGGTACCTGCTGAAGGCTGAAGGCTGGGTCTAAGAAGGGGTGTTGTTCCAGGTGTAGGAGATAAAAGGGGAGGTGGGGGGAGAAAGGGAGGAGAGGAGGGAAGAGGCCGGGCGAGGTGAGGAGAAGAGACAAGAGGTATGGCTCAGCACCCGTAGCACAGTGGTTATGGTGCCAGCCACATAAACCAAAGGGTGGCGGGTTTGAACCCCGCCTGGGCCAGCTAAACAACAGTGACAACTGCAACAAGAAAACAGCCGGGCACTGTGGCAGGCGCCTATAATCCCAGCTACTTGGGAGACTGAGGCAAGAGAGTGTTGTGAGCTGTGACACCCCAGCATTCTACCAAAGGCAACACAGTGAGACTCTTGTCTTTAAAAAAAAAAAAAAAAAAAAAAGAGGAGAGGTGAGGAGAGCAAGGTGAGGGGAGGTGAGGGGAGGTGAGAGGAGGTGAGGGGAGGGAAGGTGAGGAGAGAAGAGAGGCAATGGGGAGAGGTCTGCTCAAGGAAGGGTAGGGAGCTCCTTGACACAGTAGGTGAAAGAGAGTGAAAGGTGGACAGATGAGGAGAGACAGAGCCAGACCCAAACAATGGGTTGTGTCTCCTCCTGTGCTAAGTTTGTTCAGCTCATTCATTCACTGAAAAAGAATTCACTAAGTGCCAACAGGCACCCTTCTAGATCTGGGGAAATATGGCAGTGTTTCCCACAGGGTACTTGCTCTGGTGCAGATGACTTGAAGGAGGGTAGCCACAAACAAGGACACAGAAAGTTAAGATAATTCCTGGCAGACGTAAGTGCTGTGCAGAAAACAGAATGATAAATTGAGAGTTTGGGAGGGGCAAGACATTAGTTGAGGCCCAATGGCAAGAAACAACCACAGCCAGAGTACTGCCAAAGGGAGCTCCATAGAAGGGGGGACCCACTGCAGGCAGAAGCTAATTACACAAGGCAATTGTTTTGCTAATAAGACTATGTTAAGAAAATTAAGCTTTTTTTCATTTGTAAAGAACTCATTAGTAAGTTGTATTTTTAGTTCTTCCTCCCTAGGGTTTAGAAGTTGGGTGGAGGTTTGTCTGGGTTGCTGGGGAGGAGCCTGGGTTCTGGCAGGATGCCTCTGGGAGGAGTACTGAGGGAAAAGAGGGGGGCACAGGAGGGGGCAACACCCACCTGCTCCGGGAGGTCACGTCCAGGAAGAACTGCACCAGGGCCAGCAGGTTGTGGTGGTGGTCTGACACCCGGCTCAGGGTGCTGCACAGCTGCTGGAGCTGCAGGCAGAGAGGGGACCCAACTAGGCTGTAAGAGGGATACTCTCTGACTTTGCCACCCAGTCTAGTCAGGGGTTAAGGGGGACAATCACAGAGGCCAAGCACATTGTGATGACCTCCAAGCAGTGCCATCCCCATCCAGAGCACCCTAAATGCCATTAAGTCTCCTGTGGCAAAGCTGTGTACAGGTTAGACTCACAGTATGAAGTACCTTCTCTGGCCACTCCTGAATGTTCTCCAGGAGCAGGAGCAGGAGCTGCTGGAGGTCAGCCTTAGGCAGCAGCCGGAGCCCCACATCCAGGCCAGTGTGACACAGCAGTTCAATCAGATCCATGAGGCTCCCATCAGTGTAGGCCCCCGGTTGGGCCACGGCACACAGTGTGAGGAACTGCAGGGAAAGAATGAGAGTAGGGGTGGCTGCATGGTGAGGGGTTGGGGAAAGGATTTAGAGGACCATCTCCTTGAGAGACACCTTCAGCCAAGGTGCATAGGACCTGACAGAGCAAGCAATGAGGCCTAGATTCGAGGCTGCCTAAGGAGTCCTTGGGTGGCAGGTACAGGCATGGAGAGGGGGTACTTTCTGTAGCAGCGGTTAAGCCTTGCAGCCTGAACAGTGCCTGTAATGGTGCTGAGCTCACCACAGATGCTCAATGACACTGAATTAAACTGCTGAATAGGTCTGGATTTTAAGCCAAGAGTGCTCCAGGGTAAGGCAGATAGCCTGACTCACCTTATAGATGTAGCTCAGACTAATGTCCAAGGCAACCTCCTGGGGAGTGTCCTGCTGCTCATTTCCGCTCAGGCTGGCCTCACTGCTAAGCTCTCTAAGGTAAGACAACAAAGATGACAATGAAACAGGAGGAGGGCACAAAGGAAAACTGAGGTGGAGGAGGCTTCTGCTTGGTCAGGTGCAGAGAGCCCAGATGACCCTTTTAGCAAGGACCTCACCTCCCTGTCATCTACTGGAACATAAAAGATTACTCCAAAACCCAGTGGCTCAAAAACAGCATCTGTTATCTCAGGTTTCTGAGGGCCAAGAATCCAGGGACAGCTAATCTGGGTGGTTCTACCCTCAAAATATTGGGCAGGACTGTTATCATCTCAACTTTACTGGCTTGGAGGACCTGCATCCAAGCACATACATGGTCACTTGTTGACAGGCCTCAGTTCTTTGCTACATAGACCACACATTTTGGAACATGGCAGCTGGTTTCTCCAAAGCTAGCTATCTGAGGTCCCTGGGGGGAGGGAATATATATGCAGGTGACAGAGCTGCAGCCCTTTATAACCTAATCTTGGAGCGACAACCTATCTCTTCTGTTGATTCCTTCTTTTCACACAGGCCAGCCTGACTTGGTATAGGAGGGACTACAGAGGGTGTAAACACCAGGAGGTAGGCATCCATGGGGCCTCATTGGGGGTGGCTTCTGCATGCTGCCATTCCTGTGAGCCTGGCCAGCTTTAGTTCTCTGGAACTTGGAAGCCAGAAAATCATACCTCCAATCGCCTCAAAGGATCTTCCTAAAAATAGTTTTGTCTACTTGATGATAGTGACTCTGTGCGCACTGCAAAACATGCCACGTGGTAGCTAACATGGGGATTAGTTTCTAAAGTCAGCAAATAGGGTGAAAGTCAGACTAAAAACGGTTCCCTGAAGCCCCCCACCCAAGGTGTTGCCTTGAGCTGAGCACTGTCTACTGACAAGTCCAGGATGGCTTATTCTGCCAGTGATGAGACGTTATCTGGTTGAGCACCAGATGAGGTTAGTGGCTGGGACTATGCACATAAACAACCTCTTGTAAAGCCCAGAACTGCACTCAGGGTGGCAAGAGCCTCACAGTTTTGGTGAGCATGGTGGCCAGCACAGTCCCACCACCCATTCTGCTGCCTCCCAAGCTCCCCTCACTACATCATTCTCTCTCTGGCCAAATGTGCATTGTTGAAATAAGTTGTGTGAGCTTATGATGAGGCTCCCCTTTGCTGTCTCATTTACTTTTCAGCTCTCGTGAGGTAGCTTATCATTCATGGGAATAGTGCACTTGCAGTAAATAAAATTAGTGATGATGATGGCAATGCACACCCGGGTAGCCACCCTGCCATAGGTATAGGGAAGAGTGCTGTTCCTACAGCTTGAGTTAAGCCTTTGCTTTTTTTTTACTTTTTGCTGCTGGCACCGCTGCTCAGAGGGAAAGAGGAGAGACCCATCTCTTAGGCAGTGGGAAGCTGGCACCAATAAACCAAAGTTGGTGTTTGTGTGGGGGGCCTGGGCTCAGCCCTTCTTTTATTAGGGCCAGAGAATGGGTAAGGCTGGCATTTGCACATCTGGGCACACACTAGGGCTGTGTGTGCCCGTATGTAAAACAGAGTGCTGGTTTGTACCAGCCCATGAGCGTGCACTAAATATGCAACATAGGCAGACATGCTTTCAGGTCTCCCAAATAGCAGGGCAGCCAGAGTCGACTTCAAAAGTTGGCTGAAGAGCCGATAGTCCCAGCTACTCAGGAGGCTGAGGCAAGAGAATCACTTAAGCCCACAAGTTTGAGGTTGCTGTGAACTGTAATACCACGGCACTCTACTGAGGGCAACAAAGTGAGACACTGTCTCAAAAAAAAAAAAAAAAATAAGTCGCCAAAGAAAAGTGGGCTCTCAGAAGTTTGGTGCTGCCAAAGGGAGTAATATAAAAAGCGTGAGCTGGTGATAAGTTTTCCCAGAGCTGGGGACAGGATGTGTGGCTGTGACAAGGGCCTTCTCTCCTTGGGAAGGAATGTCAGCCTTCCCAAGTAAGGATGTGGATGGTCTTCTGGTGTGAACTCTGCAAATTCCCTGGCCCATTTCTCCTTGGGAGCAGCAAGCTGATGGGCAGAATAATGAGGGTCTTCTATCCCTAGCCATTGTGAGGACTCATTTAACTGAAGTGTTGGCATCTATAACTGTTATTCTGAGATGCAACATCAGCTGATCCTCAGGACTCTTCCATTCCCAAGCAAGAGGCCAGGTAATAGAGGAGTGGGAATTCATGACCTATCCCTCCCTGCTCCCCTCCTTGACTCTGCAGGTTAAGAGCAAGCTGGTGGCTCCACCCCTGTTTGCTGCCCTGGCTGCCTGGGCTAGGCAGGGCTCACAACCTATAGCCAGCATCCAGGAGCTGGTATCTGGGTCTCAGTGATGCTGCTCTATGCTTATTAAGCAATCTTATGGGGGGCACATCACTGACCTTTACTTGGGTTTTTATATCTTCTTTCTCTAAAAGTTGAATAATAATGTTACCCTGTGTATGGCATTCCCATACCCTCAGAAGGAAGATGGTAAGCAAAGTATCTGAGCCCCAGGACCTCTGTAAATAAGAGCCCCCCAAAGTCACTTGGGGCGGGCACTAGCGCCCTGGCTGTGTACAGTGGTCAGTGGTCAATGCAATGAATAGGAATTGATGCTAAGCGAATGGAATGGAGGAGAGATGCAAATTTTCTACCTGGATGGAATTACATTGTCTCAAGATGGCCAATTACCAAATACACCCAATTTGACAGGATGTCCTATCAATGTATTAATTATCATTTATTTATCCTTTTGGTCTCTGCAAAGGGCTGCTCTTTTGAGAACCAAGTGGACAAAAGCTTCTTCAGCCTGCAGGAGATCTTATTGGCCAGGCCCAAAGATCTGAGCAGGGCTCTTCAGCTGGGCTTTGCATCGAGAATCAGCTTTAAAGGAACAGCTAGAGCTACCTAAGGGCCTTCTCTACGTCTAAGTGAGACTGGCAGATGAAGCCTATTCTTTTTTTTTTTTTTTTAAATAACAATGGTTAGATGGCACGAAATAGGTGGCAATGGCGATGCCTTAACCATATGCATGTTGTCAGGCCTGAGGGCTTCTTCCATCCTTGGCAAGGGGAATGCTAACCTTCTCTCCTTTCATACAACACAGATGAAACCCATTCTGGTAGTGGTGTGGGCATACTCCTTCCAGGGCTGAGGTTGCTTTTCTTGTTTCCTATTCACATGCACACTCTGAGTCCCTCCTCTTCTGCCCTTTTGCCCTCAAATGTTCTCCTATGTTCCTTTCTCCAGCCCTATAACTGAACAAAAGGCCATTCTATTGTCAATAAGGATGATCAGCTGCAGGAGGACTGTGAAGCATTAGGTGGGAGATGGCAATGGCTTTTGAGGTAATCTGAGATGAGGAACAAATGGGAAAGACTTGTCTTTCTCATAGCAACTAGACAGCCCAGGTCTAGGGCCAAGCACAGAGACATTTTAGCCCTTCATTTCCTGCTTAGTTAGCATGAAGTTTTGTGGGTGCCCCCCAAGGAGCCCAGGCTTTTCTGGGGGAATGCGAGATGGAAACATCCTAGAAGTCAACAGAAAAGAAATGTCCAACATGGAACTAGCTGGCATAAGACAAGCCTCTGAATTTGCTCAGGAACAAGGATGAGGAAGACTATGGGGAAACAGTGGCCTGCCTTAGCATCCTTCATGTATCATGGATGTTATGCCCTTAGTGGATGATGCTAGAACCTTCTTGGTGCTTCCTGAATAATATGGAGGAGTCATCCTCCAACCCTATGACCCCTCTCCCTGAGCTTCCCCAATATAACATCCAGGCAGCAACTCTAGAAACCTATCAGAGCATTTTTACCACCCATATACCCAAGGAAGACATGGGAGGGGTCTCTAGGGAGAAAAACCTTCCCAGGCTTGGCAAGAGGTTCCCCAAACTGCTCTTACAGGGCCTCAAGCAGGAAAATCACCCCCATTGCCATCAGCCACATCCTTCAGGGAGGTTCTGAACCCTCTTGGGGGAAATAGTGTCAACAGCTAGGCCAAGGTCTTTCCCAAGGAAAGGAGGCAGAGTGATAAAACAGCCTGTCTGGAAATGTGATGCAAGACTCTGGAAGCTCTCTGGGCCCTGCTCTAGGACAACATGGCTCTGCATTCCTCCCATGTAAGGCTTATTTATATTTGGGAAACCTGGAAGTCGCAAGCTGGGGTTTGTGTTCCAAAGTATGTGAGATGACGAGTTTGAAAGGCCACAGTTTCCATATCCACTCCATATCCCCCTACCCTCCTGCTCCAGAGATGGAGACAGTAGATTTTTTCTGCAGCAAGCAGTCAAATCTTGGGAGAACCAAGAGGAGGTTCCAGGTGTGTGTGTGTGGGGGAATGACAGTGGCTCTTTGCAAGTGAAGTGTAACTTAGGTGGATCTAAGTCTCCAAGGTCATCTCCCACTTCCCAGGTGGACTCATTAGGTGCTCGTCAGAGCAGTCAGAAGTGGCTCTTCTGAACCCCATGACACACCCAACATGAATTTGTTTTTGTGAGTATAGTTCTTTCTTGAACTCATCAAATACAAGGATGTGATTGAGGCTCCATGTTAGGAAGAGGCAAGTAGCTTTTGACAACAGATATGGAACTCGGACAGCAAGAAGGAGGCTAGTAGCTTTTGATAACAGATATGGAACTCAGGCAAGAGCGTGGCAGGCTGGCACATGCGTGGGGTATTTATAGCAGAGCTGAGTGTGGTTTGGTTTGGCAGACAATTATTAAATATGATCCTGGAACAGGTTCTTAAGAAAACTCTGGCTTTCTCTGCAGAGGAACATCTGCCAGTCAAGGCAAAGGAAAGGGTCCTGGCACCTCCTGGCACCTTGCAAACATCAGCAGATGCATGGGAAGGGGTCTTACATAATAGCCCCTCCAGGTTACTAAATAGCCTATCAAACCAACTTCTCAAAGGATTCTCAAGAATGAATTTAGAAATGCTACAATTTGTAGGACAAGACTATGGTATATAATCCTTTTCCTACCTTGACCTATCATCCACTGACAACAGTTGTTTATGCTTTATGTGCTCTGCTTCTAGAGGGAAGAGATGATGCATATGCAAATTAACATAGTTCACCACCAACCTGATCCAAGGCACAGAGGAGGCACTCCTGAAATAAAACTGAGTACCTTGGAAATGTCAACCAGTGCTTTGGTGTTTATGCGTTGATACTAAATAATGGGTGTAACAAAAGGCCTGAAGACAGACAAAAGAGATGGCTCTAGGTCTAGGAAGATACTAACTAGGTTAGGAAGCCTGAGTTTCTCCAGGGCTGGGCACCAGGAAGGGCTCTGAGTCAGGAAGAGGCAGTAACAGGTGTGAGACAAAGCAGCCAGGTTTACCCCCGCTACCCAGTGCTTCCTGTCCTCAAGGCTGGGAACGTGGAAATTCATGTAGTGGTGTGATACTTACATTTACAATTGTGCGTGGTTGTTCTGTACTTCCCCATCATGTGGGTGACAGCCCTAGTCCAGCAACTTTCAAACAAAGGAGAAAAAGTGAGAATGTGAAGTACTCACCTGCTGCTGTGCTGACAGAGTCCCTGGGGGCACAGAGCAGGGTCATGGGCTCCCAGGCTATGAAATGCCTCCATGATCTCCTGCAGTGAGGGGCACCACAAGTGCATGTCTCTATCTGTCAGGTGGGGAAAAGAGAGCAGAGAGTTAGAGGAGGAGAGAGGGGGACAGGCTGTGACAAGCCCTTGCCCCAAGTAACTGGTTTCTGCATTCTATGGTAATCTGGAGAAATGAAGCAACAAGGGGTTTCCAAATATTCCTGAAACTTTAGGAACCTGGGCATTCATCCTCATCCAGTCTTCAAGGTATGGCTGCACAGAAGTTCAAGGGCTGGAGGATGACTGTATCCTGACAATCTGACCACCAGGCAGCAGTTATGGTGATTAGATGGTTGTGGCTAAGTGACAAAGAGGAGTTCTGAACCAGAGACCCTGACACTCCAAGGCTTGGAAGATACTAGTCTCACCACTCCCAGGCTCTCTGTGCTGAGGCCAGGACTGAGCCCACTGCTGACTTGCCGTCACTCTTTTGCAATATTTGGGTGTCCCTTGGTTGACTGCCCCTGCTGGGAGCACACCTTCCAAAGCCTGGGACATGTCCTCTATAAGTAAGGGTGGGATATGGGTTCTGGTCCCTCTCAACCAATTTAACAAAACATAAACAATAATCTGATCATAACAACAAACAAGAGAAACCTTACATATTCAGTCTTTCTTCTGTTAGACTATTTAAGGACATTTGCACAACTGGGAGAGTAGAAAAATAATAAAATAACATGTCTGAGCATCTTTTCCAAAGATGGCTGCACAAGATTTCCCATCCACATGTTCTCTGCACCATGACCTTCCACATTCCATGGACAGGCAGAGTGCACCATCTCCACCCCATTATCATTTCTCCACAGAATCTTACTCATCTATATACTTGCTTTTTGTCTGTTTCTTCCTGCTAGAATGGACATCTGTCAAGGCAGGGCCCATATTTATGTTCATCTCCCCATGCCTAAAAAAAGTGGCTGTCATGTAGAAGGATAGGAATGAATGAACGAATAAATGATAGAGCGAATCCAAAACAAATCTCAGTAGTACCCAGTTAAAAAGATGCTATGTCCTGAAAGTCTGTGTACCCTCAAAGTTCACGCATTGAAACTTAATCCTCAATGCAATAGTATCAAGCAGTGGAGCCTTTTGGAGATGATTATATCATGAGGGGGAGCCCTCCTGAACAGGATTAGCCCCATTATAAAAGAGGCCCAAGGAAGCTTGTGGGACACAGCAAGACAATGTCACCTTTGAGGCAAAGAATGAGCCCTCACCAGACATCAAATCTGCTGGCACCTTGATCTTGGACTTCCCAGCCTCCAGAAATGTGAGCAATACATTTCTATTATTTACAAATTACCCAGTCTAAGGTACTTTGTTATAACAACTCAAACAGACTGACACAGAGGGAAACCGAAAACAAGTTATAGGATGGGCTGGCAGTGTCAAGAACACACACGTTTAATTTGACAATGGGTATGGCATCAGGACTAAGAACTCAGAGGCTGGGTTAGGGATGCATTAGAAGTGTATACTTGAAACTTGATCATCCTAGAGGTCCTCCTAAGGACCCACTTCAGTGCATCCCACCATGTACAGGATTTAGGCAGGTGTAAAAAAGATAAAAAGGTGACCTTGTGAAGATCTCAACCACAGGAATTCACAGTCTAGGAGGCAGAAAAGCCAGGAACCAGCCTACTCTGAGGGGCGATGAAGTGGGTGGGAATACAGTCACAAGCAATGGCAAGGTAAGTGTACCCCCATCATAGGGACAGAGATGACAGAGGCAGGGCAGCATGAAAGAACACTGCATGTTGGCTCGGCACCTGTGGCTCAAGCGGCTAAGGCGCCAGCCACATACACCTAAGGTGGCAGGTTC